TCCTAGAACAGGAGTGATTGGTTTGTGAGGAATGACAAACCATAAAAACCCTATCAAAAGTTGTAATAGCTCTTAAAGTTCAGCCTGGCTCAGGCTGTTGCTGAGCTGAGCATATTTACAATCCACATCATTATTGCGTCTGCTGTCCCAGACACAGAAGGATGGGAATTTACCAGTTGTAAGTCTGGGAAAACAGCAAGGAGTAGGAGACCTCAGACTCTGGAAATGGGATGTAAGCAGAAGAGTAGTGGGTTTCAGAGTGTACATTAGGAACAGGATGGGTTTTCTTCCTAGGTATTAGGGTGTGCTTGTGTATGTAGGTTTGTTTGGGAAAGTGTTTAGAGGTCCTGCACACAGATGAATGTTGCGTCTGTACCCCAGAGCTGCCTCTGTATGTTAGTCCATCTGTGAATATAGCAGGTAACACAGCTCTTCCCTCCCGTCTTTCCCTGTGGAAGTTTCCCAGTAAACATCCTTTCCTGTGATGTGCCTCTCTCTCTTACTGCGCTATGGGCTTTGTACTCACTCTTGCAGTGACTCAGCTTTCCCTGTTTAGATATTTGAGGTTTCTCGTGAGTCTTCAGGTTGCTCGTAGGTCTTTCAGGTTGCTGTAACCAACTGACTTACAGAAAAATCAGTGAGTACCTTTGAAAAGAAGGTAGCCACATCTACACTCAGAGGCAAAAATCCCTCCTGGCAGCCTGTCTCAGCTGTTCTACGTGTTGGATTGGGCTTTCCAAATGATTGAGGGAAAGGAATGCATCTGTCATGGATTCTGCTCAGCCTTTGTAGGTAGCGAGGCACTCGGTCCTTCAAAGTGGGACACAATCCTTGACACAGTCAAAATCCTAGGAGCATGGAAACTTAGCAATCAAGCAAGAAGCCCCAAAAAAGCTCTAGTGCCTCAAGGGTAGGATTCTCAATATTTAGCCCAGCTTTGACATGTAGAAATTAGAAACTTCACTACTGTTTCAAACCAAGGTAACACTGCTCATTTTGCAAAAATGAGCATTTGTTTAAGACAAGAAGACATTTAAGTTGTGGAAGGATGACCAGTGGACTGAGTGGCAGCAATGGTTTGGAAAGGGAGAGAACATGGAGCCTGCAGACAAACACTGAGATTGAGAGAAGCAACAGGGGCAAGAATGCAAGTTCGAACAGAAGGAGTTCAGTGCTGATGCTAAATTCTGTGCATGCGCAATTCTCTTCCTGAACCTAGTGATTTCCAGAAGGACATAAAGAGCTTTTGACTGAGAACCCTGTAACAGCAAAACTATGTTGTGTCATGGGGTTGCTGAATAGAGAAGAATTCTTGGAAGGTGATGGTAGGTACTTGACTGAAGAAGATCACTTACAGAAACCAGAGGACTGGGAGGTACCACCACTGTGGAAGGCTAACAGATGCAGTTTTCCTCATAGTTGTGCCGTCTGTAAAAAGGTGCCATAAATGTTCCTCCCAAGAAGCAGATGTGCTCAAATAAAAGACCGCCATCTTCCTGTTCTCACTTCTGTAATGGTCTTTCTTCTGATGTCTTCTAAACCCCCAAGGCCGAGTGCATCCCTGTATTTTAACCCTTTTCTAGGACAGCAAACCCGCCTCTTATCTTCTTCTTTATTCCAAGTTATCCTGTTATTTCACCACCTGTGAAAGGATACCATGAAGCAAACTGTTTTCAAAGAACTGCTAGTTTTATTTTCCAGCCAAAAGCACACATTTGTCTTTAGGTCATGTGACACAGGAATATTGATGGTTATGGGAGAACCCGAGGTGTCTTTCATGGATTGGACAGTTCCCTAGTTGTTAGTTACCAGTGCCAATAAATACAGCCATTTTGACACCTAGACCGCATATTCTGGCCATGCTGCACTGGTCAACAGGAGAGTTTGAGGTGAAGATTCCCAGCTCTTTGCCCAGCTGCATGGGACTGACACAGTCCGCACATTAAGAACCTTTTCCTATTTTTATGTAGCAGTAATAAAGTTTGGATACATGATTTATACAAGGCACCACAGTGAACAAAAATATAGTCAATCTACATGATGGATATAAAATTTCCTAAAAGGCATATAATGATTTTGTTTCAACATCAGTATTAACCTAGTTGGAATTACAAGCCCATCCCCAGCTCCTCTCCAAGTCAGGGTACCTAATTCCTGGTAGAATAGGAGAGAAGAGAATCAGAAGTTTTTAACATTTTCAATCTTCAGACCCTTGATCTTGGTATAATACAATATAGCAAACATAAACATGCCGGAAGGGCTTGTTTTTTTAGTAACCTTTTACGTACTACTTAGAAATAATTTATAGTCTCCCAGCATCGTCACTCCCACATCATAGCACTGAAACTGTTTCCCTGCTGTGTTTGACATTGTCCAACAGAACAACTTGATTGTGAGCCATCTCTGCCAATGGAACTGAAACAGAAAGTTGTTCTTATGATTTCTTCTGGTCAATAGTTTCTTCCTAATAAAAGTCTTAAAGCTTATCCCCCTCTTATGCATAGCCAAGTTTCTTTGCTGAAACTTTGGTGCCATTCTTACAATAAATACGATGAAAAAGAGAATTCTGACTCTTAATTTCTTGGCCTGCTGCATAAGAGAAGGGCAGTGTATCTTCATTTTTCTCCAGAGACTGTTGCAAAGATATACGTTCCATTGGAATCTCTCTCTTTTTTTTTCTGTCTTAAAATGAGATTCATCTAGAGGCTTTTTTGCATTTTTTCCTTTATGTTCTAGTAGCTTGACGCATAAAGATAAAAGCAGTCTAGATTGCTAGGATGTGTGTTCTTTTGTACTGAAACAATTTTATTTCACTTCCAATGACAACTTGCTTTCGCACAACAGCCTAAGAGTGTCTACATTGATATTGTCTGGCAGTAACTCCTGTAAACCCACTTCCTCATGCTGCGCCCCGGCAGGGCCTTAAAAGATATTCCCTGATCAAAGAATGGTTACAAATAAAAGCAGACACAAAGCAATATTTTGTCCTTGGGCTCTGACCATTTGCTTTTATGACAGAAAGAACCTAAGCATACCAAGTCAGCAATTTAAAGAATAATATAGTTAAATTGTTTATGACAGGAAAATGCTGCCAATGGTCAATCTCTTTGACAGACATTTCTGTCAGGTTTTACTGCTCTGGCAGTACTAGCAGTGTGCAGCTGATAGGCTTTTTTATGAGTGCATGAAAATGTTGGCATTGAATCACTTACCTAATATTGTGCTATTCTCAAACCCTGTGAAGACATTTTTTATTTTGTCTTATGAGAATGCACTGCTTTTCCTTTAACAAAATATTTGTTCTTGAGAGCCAGACAGGCTCTGGGGCACCTGGAGAACCTCAGTTTGAGTGTTCTTTCATTCAGTGACCTGAAAAGTTGAAATATGCAAGTCACAGGATATGTTGACCAGATGTTTATTTTTTGAAATGGCACAGCAGAGAAATGGCTTCTGCGTATACAGAACCTATTTCTAGAGTCTGCTAATTGTAAGAGGCACAGCTGTGATAGAATTTCCTTCCATGCTTGGTGCTGTGTGTGAACCAGCCATGAATAAAAAGAGAAAGATAGGGCAGCTGTCCTATCTTTCATGCAGGTAATTATAAGCTTGTGTATGAGAGGGGCTATTCTGCCAATGCCATGGATACTAACTGTGTTACAAACAAAATCTAAATCTATGCTTATTTGTAAAGAGAGAACATGCATATATAACAACAAAACTGACTCTGCGGGTATCACTTGACACAAAGTAGAATGAGCAGCAGTTAATGCAAATTATTTTAGAAAGTAACCCAGCCCTGGAAAACATGGTTTAGTGGACCTTAAATCAAAGAATAACATGACCGGAGAAAAAAAGAAAAAGGAAAACATCTGTAGTATATACAAACAGTGGTGGAATTTTTTCAGCATATGGGGATAAACCACTTAGAAAGCATTGCTCCCTTTACTTGGCCCAGTTATGCTGCTGTAAAGCTTCATTAGCATTGATTACATCAGAGAAGACCAGTCAGGCAGTTCTGACTGACCCATCACTCGCATTCTAGGCAGATCATAGATTTACCTTCCCACCCTCACCTCTTTTTCCCTGTTTCTCTTTCCACACAGGCAGGCAGCTGTGGGAAGAACATGCTGTGCTGCCTCACAGTCCTGAGGTTTTATGTTTGATGGTCCTTATATATCCCTGAATTGAAGCTGCATCAGCCCACCAGAGGCAACTTATTTTTACGGGATGGTACAACTACCTGGGTAACCATGTGACTGCCAGTTAAAGACATTCATTTTTCTTAATCCTGTTTATCCTATTACTAGTCACAAAATCTTTGCATAATAGTAATATTTTTTCAAGCATCATTAAGGGCATCACAACCTTCTGTAACTAATTACCACAGATTGAAACTAATAACATAGGTTACTCCAGCCTATGTAATCAAGGTGGAGAGACATGCTACATTCAACAGTATTTTATACATTTTATTAGTATGCAAATAGTGGGAGTTGTTTAGGAGCACAGCTAGAACAATGGAAGGGGGAGAGCCTTGCAAGCCAGAATTTAAACCATTATGCGTCCAAGATGCTAGATTGATTGCATTTTCATGGGGAAAGCTTAGCTCTCTTGAAACAAACCAGCCATTAAATCAGTGGGAGAGTCAGCTGACACTGGGCAGACCATCCAGTGCAACAGTCTTATGGTGTATGTGTTGGGGCACACATGATCATGGCACATGGGGGAATTCAGTCCCAAACTGCAGTATTGCACATCACCTGCATTTTAAAGTGAAGGTGCAGTTAATAATCCAGCCTGTTACATCCTGATCCTGGAGTGCATCCCCAGTAGCTGAGCTGTTCTCTGTGTCATATGACAAACAGCAGAGCTCTTCAGGGGAGAATGGCTTGTAGGCCCATTGCTGTACGCAGCCAACAGCGTGTCTGATAATTTAATTATTGCAGACTTCCCCTCCCCATCTGTCTCCTTTTTAATGAATCATCAAGGAAGACACAGGATTAAACTGAGCAATCTGCTGGAAGTGTTTGGTCTTTTGCAAACTGCACAGCCTTATGTATACTGTAGAACAGCATTTCCTGCATACTTCCAAAATCTTTTCCAAAGTAACCTCCTCTTTTCAGAGAGTCTATCACTGAGGGATTGCAGCAAGCCAGGAGAACAGAAATGTTTAAATCCTTGTAGTCTTTCAGGATTTCCTTTAGAGTATTCACTCCAGTGGTGTCCAAAAATGAGATGGAAGAGCAATCTACAACAAGGGCTTGGAAATCAATTTGCTTAGGAACTAGTTGCAGAGTGGTTTCTCCGATGCCCAGCCCATTAGCAGTTTTGTGATTTCCCTTTTTCAGATGCTGCTTTTCCTTCTTCTCATATTTCTTCCTTCTAGCAGCTTCTAGGTTAGGATCTAAGTTAGTCAACCTGTACAGAGACTTTAGGAAGTAGTTTCTGTTTGCATAGTAAAGTGGGGCCTCAAAACGGAATATTTTGACCTTTGGAACAGAAGAGAGATTTTCATATTCTAAGTCATCCTCATAGAAGTTGGTGTCTTGGATCTGACCAAGCAGGGCTGTCCGTGGCCGCTGTGTTCGAACTATGATGCATAACATGGAGAAAACGATACCAACCAACAGCCCTATTTCTGTACTGACCAAGGCAGAGGCAGACATGGTAACGATCCAAACAAGTGTGTCCACCTTATTCACATGGTACCGTGCTGGCACATCTCGGAACTTCCTCAGGGCTCCTCGGAGGCTGACAATAATGATACAAGCCAGGACACACTTCTGCAAGGAGTAGAAGAGAGGTGCCAAGAAGAGCAGCACCAGCAAAACCACCATTGCGCTAATTACTCCAGAGACTTGAGTCTGGCAGCCTGTAGATGTTTTCACGAGTGTTTTTGCCAGAGCTGCACTGGTTGCAAAAGAGTGGAAGAAAGAAGGAATGATGTTGCAGAACCCCACAGCAAACATTTCCTGGTTGGCTCGGATGGTGTAAGCGTATTTCTTTGCACACATTTCAGAAAGGGATACAGTGAAGACAAAGCTGACTATGGCAAGAGGCAAAGCATCTACAGCAACTCGGAGCATTAAGTTGAAATGCGGTACCTTGGGGGGAATAAATCCTGTTGGAATAGCTCCAGAAACACTGGATGCATACACTTCATTTAACTTCCCGTAGTGTGACACCAGTGTTGCCACAACAATAACTACCAGCTCTGTGGGAAGAGGAAATTTCAGCTTGTGCTTATACCGATCTCCCAGTTCCTTAGCAGTGACCAGCAACATGATACAAATGGCACTTGTGATGACATCACAAAGGTTAGCCTGAGAAATGTTCCGGAAAATGTTAATCCATGTAATAACAAGCATTCCATGCCCTTGGCTACGTGGGATTTTTATTCCAATTAGATACTTCACTTGAGCTGTTAAAATGGTTAAGGAAGCACCAGTTGCAAAGCCATCTAGTACAGACTCAGATAGGTACATAGCTACGAAACCCAGCCGAAAGATTCCCATTAGAACCTGAGGAGACACAGAAAAAAAAAAGAAAAAAAGAAAAAAGTGTTAAATGGTGCTGCAAATAATTAAATACAGGTGGGAGAGAACAAGCTGGAGGAAGATAACATTTGGCTATTTGAATCTTAAAATGGGAATTATCCTTTGGTGTTTCCAGTCTGTTTTTAAAACATGTGATTCCTTTTACTGTTGTGGGATACTACAAACCCAAGAGGTAAATGAGGGGTTTGAGACAGGGTCAATCAAACATTGGTCTGAAGTGACTCCACTGAAGTGGCTCATCTGAATTTTATTTCCCATGCAAAAGAGCAGTGGATCCAGACCACTTCTGTTATATCAAAGCCAATTTTCTTTTTTTGTGTCTTAAAGTGACTAAAGTTAAAACTTAAGGCCATTGCTTTGTAAACAGAACTTGATTGACAACAGCTAAGATCCCTACTTTAGTGGCACTCTTATATTAAACAGCTTTTAATTTTAGCCCTGTGAACAGAGGGGAAGGTGGACCACAGAGAGCCCTTAGGTCAGAAGTGGCAGAAGAGCTCACAAGCTTTCCCGCATCCAGGATACTGTCCTTAACTAGATGCTTCTCCTTCCTTTGATTGCTTTCGAAAATGTAGCTTCACAAGGGCATTTTGTTGTTCACAAATGTGACCTGAAATTTGTTAGTAAACAGGAAGATAGCTAACTCTTTCTTACTTCATATATATATATGCAATTAATAGGTCAGTATGTTAATCGTGCTTCCTTCTGTGTTCTTTTGATATCCTTGTGATGGGCAATACGTTAGTAAGTCTCAAAGAGTCCAGTGCGGACATTGTTTGAAAAGTAGGTCAATCTATTTCCCCTCTTGTTATTTCTGCTTCTGAATTATCTTTGGACAGGAGTTCTGTAGAACATAGTACCCACTAGAAAAACATTGAGCAGCACATTCTGAAGCTGCGTAGAAGTAGGTGAGTGAGTCTGCATCTTTATTAAAGTATCTAGGGCAACAGAATTATTTTTTCATTGTTGAAGTATGCAGCTACCTGGGAATTTCCGTCATGGTAAGATCTGTATTGGATTCATGGTCCCATGAAAGCAGAAAGGCCAAGAGGCAGCAGAGTATCAAAACAATGTTAACAGTATTTCAGACTTGTTTCACCTGTGCTTGCCAGTAGCTAAGACTGCCTACCTTATGCTTTCTCTGGGTTGCCTGCAGTTAGGCTTCCTGGAGAAAACAGTCCAAGGTCATTCAAGTGAACGAATGCTCTCTGTCTCTCATTGAAAGACAGTCAAACCAAAGCTTATGTCATGCAGAGAAGCTTTAGAAACTTCATACCTTGCCTCTGGATATCAGCAACCACTTACCTGGTACACTCCAGCCACAAATGTCAAGGCTGTAGCAATGCCAATAGCATAGCATTCTTTCCCACACTCGGCATCCATCCCTGCAATTGTAAGGTTGAAGGCAGTTGTGTTGGTTTGACTGGCATTCTTCAGTGAACCATCACCCAGGGCTGGTGGGGCATCATCATTCAAGTCAAACCCAGCCAAGAGAAGTTCGCGATCCACAACTTGTCCTACCATTAAGCTTATCAGGCTGAAAATGCCAACTGAGACATGACGGGATGTGCCCATTAAGAAATAAATGATGTTTGCAAAGAATGATGTGTAAAGACTATAAATCGGCTTCAGACCTGCCAGCAGTGAGTATGCGATTGCTTGGGGCACCAAAATGATCCCAATCACTAAGCCAGACATAACGTCCCCCCAAATGTACTCTTTACAATGATACTTGGGAAGCCATCGTAGAACGGGAAGGAAGTCCATGACAAAATTCTTCAGCTTCTTTGGAGTGCAGGAGCAGCTCTTCCTCAGCTTAGCTAGCATAACTTCTTTCCTATTAATCTTGACACGAGTCTTTCTTTCCATGAGAAAGCAGGAATCAGTGCTATTTTCCATCCTGATAGCCTCAAGTGGTCTTTCCATTGTCCCAGTGTTTACTTCATGTATGTGTTCCTGCAATGTGAAGAAAACAGCTGTTAGGTTGCAGTTCATTAAGTTTTTTTAAGCACAGATGCTTAATGCTAAAAATTTATCACCTGACTGTGCTTTTAAGGAAGCATCATCCCAGAAGAACAGCACCGCAGGGCTCCAGTGACATATCACACTAAGAAATAAATCTGCAGATTGAGTCCCACCTTGCAGACATTGAAGTGTGCATTCACAGAATCACAGAATGGTCAGGGTTGGAAGGGACCTCTGGAGATCATTTAGTGCAACCCCCCTGCCAGAGCAGGGTCACCTGCAGTAGGTTGCACAGGAATATGTCCAGGCGTGTTTTGAATGTCTCCAGTGTGGGAAACTCCACAACCTTTCTGGGCAGCCTGTGCCAGTGCTCTGCCACACTCAAAGTAAAGAAGTTCCTCCTCATGTTCAGGTGGAACTTCCTATGTTCAAATTTATGCCTGTTACCTCTTGTCCTGTCACTGGGCACCACTGAAAAAAGCCTGTTCCCATCCCCCTGCTGCCCTTCTTTTAAGAATTTATAAGCATTGACAAAATCCCCCCTCAGTCTTCTTTTCTCTAGACTAAGAAGACCCAATTCCCTCAGCCTTTCCTCGTAAGAAAGATGCTCCAAGCCCCTAATCATCTTTGTAACCCTTTGCTGGACTCTCTCCAGCAGTTCTCTGTCCTTTTTGAACTGGGGAGCCCAGAACTGGACACAGTACTCCAGATGTGGCCTCACCAGGGCAGAGTAGAGGGGAAGGATGACCTCCCTTGACCTGCTGGCCACACTCTTCTTGATGCACCCCAGGATGCCATTGGACTTTTTGGCCATTACAGTATTTTTTTTGTCTAACTGAAGTAAGTACACAAAACCCCTGAAACTGTTAAAGCTAAATCGGGACTACACTTCTATTTGATCTCCATGTAGTGCAACTGGCTTTATTGAAAAAGAATAGCAGGGATGAGTAAGAAGGCAGAGATTACCAGCCCCTGTAATGTAATGGTTTTAAGATTATCTTCTACCTTATCTTCTACACTCTCCAGGACAAAGATTTTTTCCAGTGCTACTATTTATTTTTGTTATCTCACTGTAAACACTACTGGAGTAATATCATTGGACAGACCCAAACTATATCACGACACAATTTCTAATCTGATCTTGTAGAAGGCTGTGCGCCTGATGAACAGTGCTACCGTGTGCTGATAAGAAATCTCTTGTGGAGGAGGGACACCACTTGTTACTGATCTCCAACTAGACTCTGCACCACTAACCACAACCCCCTGAGCTCTATCTGTCAACCACTGTTCAATCCATCCAACTGTCCATTCATCTAACCCACACTTCCTAAGCTTGCCTGTGAGGATGGTGTGGGAGACAGTGTCGAAAGCCTTGCTGAAGTCAAGGTAGACAACATGCACTGGCCTCACCTCATCCACCCATCCAGTCACACCATCATAGAAGGCTATCAGATTAGTCAGACATGACTTCCCCTTGGTGAATCCATGTTGACCACTTCTGATAACCTTCTTTTTCTCTGGATGCTTGGAGATGACTCCCAGAACAATCTGTTCCATCATCTTTCCAAGGATGGAGGTGAGGCTGAACAGCCTGTAGTTTCCCGGGTCATCCTTCTTGCCCTTTTTGAAGATTGGAGTGACATTAGCTTTCCTCCAATCCTCAGGCACCTCACCTGTTTTCCAGGACCTATCACAGATGATAGGGAGCGGCCCAGTAATGACTTCTGCCAGCTCCCTCAGCACTCATGGGTCCTAAGGAAAAATGGAGTTAAATTAGTCATTTCTTTGTACAACAAATAATTCCATCAGCTCTTCCAAGTGCTCCACCATAGAGGTCTCTGTGATCAGAGGCAGCACTTGATGGTGTGAAATAAACATATGCTAGTGACTAGGCTATGGTCTTTCTAATAGTGCATCTTGTAGTCACTGATGTGGAACTCATATGGGGAATAGTGATATGTCACTGCAGCTGTCCTCAATGCACAGAAAAAAAAATTTGCTAGTAGAAGCTGTAAAGCAGAGTTTTCTGGAGAGCAACAATTCAGTCTTATGAAAAAAAATCGTACACAAGCCATTGGTGGACTTTTAGAAGCTGCTACATAACATGAACCTGTTGAATAGTAGATTGTTTTGATATGCAGCTTCTGTTAACTAATAAGCATTTCCTCACAAATACCACTTTGGCAACATGTGGACCATTCACGATGATGGAATCTGTTACCATCTCAGAAGAGTGCTACATGTTAGTATTTTCAAGTTTAAACCCATAGTTACCCTAGCTTTGCTCTCCAGGTAATAAGGTACAACAAATAATTATGTGGACAGCAGAACAAACACAGCAGTCTTTGCTATGGTTCTCCTGCATGTCAGTTTTTTGATACATAAAAACGGAGAAAATTTGTATTCTCCAGATGGAGGTGCTTTTGGTGTCTCTTGCCTCTATGAACTTGGTGTCTCTTGCCTCTATGAACGCAACTGTTTTCACCAAACTCAATCTCTGCATTTTTGCTCAATTGTCACATTAACTTGAAATTACCTTAGTGTGTTCATAAATCATTTGGGAGTAGGTAGGGACAATGAGAGGCAAAACAGTATAACATGCAAATGCCCTACCTTAAACAGTTTAGAAATAAAAATACGAGCAGGAAGGTAGAAAATGTCAAACTGACTAGGCTGTTTGCAGTGGAAAGAGTAGATGCCCATATATAAGTACTGGGAGATAAGGAATGACTCATATTGACCTAGAAGAAGAGAGTATGTGCTAGTACAACAGTATGTAGAATCTCTAGGAGAGAATAACTTCTCAAATCCAGCCTTTCCCAGTGTCATAAACAGCCAGGATCTTTACAACGAAGCATTTTGGTGCCAGGTGTGACATTGTAACATACCCATCACTTTCCTAAAACTTGAAGTACACTCACTGACACAGTACTCTGTTGGTATATTTTAATGATTTTAACAGTTAATAGTAAGTTTAGACTCTAGTGACAGAAGCCATCATTCCCTGTGTAAATTTCATACTTTGTTGTTGTTGTTGTTAAGAAGAGTAGTTTGGTAACACCCAGTTAAAGCTTAGAATTCCAAGCTGAGAAAAACCAAAGGGCTTATGAGTCCAACTGGAAGCATAATTGGTAAGCAAAAGAACAGATAACCAACAGCCTGTCAGCTTTCAATTTGTAGCACTCGAAATAGAGAGTGGCTGATTATAGTCTTCTGTGTATCCTGCTTAGAATTTTTTTAAAGATTTTAACAAGTAACTTTTGCCAGCAAATTGAAAACAATATGAAAATGTGTATCTGTAACTAGTGCAAAAGTCTTAAACAAATTCCCAGGTATTATTTTGAATCACACAGCCTGATTTCTAAGGCCATGCGAAGTTTCACTACAACTTGAAACAGTATGTTTAAGTGTTACAGGTATGTAATTCATAATTTGGGAAAAGTCAGAAAAGACATTCTTGTTAGAGATGTATGGACTGATTGCCAAGTTGAAAATTCCCTGCATAGTAGTCTTAGGAATATATTTTAAAAATCAGTATTTTTCTATCCATCTCAATGACGTTATATAGCTTTTAGCTCCCACTGTGTAAGTTTCTTTATGTTTGTAAGTAAGGTTTATTTCCATCATAAGGGAAGACTAATTACAGTTTAATATAATTATTTAGGAAGATTGGTGTCTATTTTTTATCAGTAATGCCAAATTTCTTTAGACTCTACGGTACTGTGTGGTTATTCTAGGCAAGATCTGCTTGGGCAAGAAATAGGTTGGATCTTTGTTAGAATGCAAAGGGGAGAGAAAAGATAAAAGAAGTTAGAACACCAAGAAAAGTACTTAAGAGCTTATGATTAAAGTTTACCAAATACAGATTGCTAGCAACTGTAATAAAAGCACTCATTTTTAAGATGCAAAACCCCAACACTTCCTGTCTTACCTAAATTAGTTTGGAGAATGAGAGGCTTGTGTGTGAGGACAGCAAGTCCTTTTTTAATACCACCCACTTACAGCCAAGAGAATTCAGACAGCCAAGAAACAAATATGGTGCCCTTGTTCTACATACTTAAAAGCTAGTGGGCAGTTCAATATCCAATGAGTGCTTTTGATAGACTATATAAAAAAGATTGCATCACCTTCTGTACACTAGGCTTATACATTTAATTGTACAGTTGCTGTCTGCCTCTCTCTAAACTCACACAATTTACTTGCAAGTAAATTTGTATTTACAAAATACCCATTAAAATTCACACATATGCATTGCTTGTGTGGCTTCATAAAGAATGGTAATAGTTTTTAATACATAAGATTATAGGAATATAATTTCTTTGGAATTTCTCTGTTAAGAGATCTTGTGTATGTTTACTAAAGTATATCTCAGCTGTACTGCCTGACTGGATAATCAGAATAGTAGCTTTTTGTAAAAGCCAACAACAACAACAAAAATACTAGAATGATAAAGCATGTATCTTTTCAGCAGTTTTGATGTATTTTAGACAAAGGTCAAAAAAACCTTCCTGATGGAATAAATACATTCAAACTAAAACACAGCCAAATGCTGACAGGAGGTCATATTCTTCAGTTCTTTTCTTCTGCTGAAAAGAAGAGTTTCCTTCCTGTAAATAACCATTTATTCTGCTAGATATATTTTTCAGAATCTGTGTCAAATGAACATGCTAGCTGCAAAACATAGCTCTAAAATGAGATGTTATTGGTTTCTAGAAACGGTTAATGTTTAGAGTTTAATTGTTGTTGTTAGAACTTCGTAAAGCCACAACAAATAGTGGAAGGGATGTTGTTACCAACAAAACATTTTTCAGTTGTTTAACACAAGAATTCTCTGCCTGTAGCTTAGTAATTACCTAGCTGATTCACCTGAAGAAAATAGGATTCTACCGTGGCTGTGTGCTGTCCTCTGTACATTTGTGCAGCCTAGCAGAGAGCTGGGAGCATCCAATGCTCTTGCTGTC